CCGTTGACCCGACGGCACCTGAACCGCTAGCTTGGGAAGTCTGCTGCGCAGAAGTGACCATGGCGAAAGTAGCCATGGCTGTTGTAGCACCGGCCTCGCTAGCTAAAGCCCTGCTGGCCTCGGCTGCTCTAGCTCTCCTCTGCTGCTGCTGCCTCTCCCTAAGCTGGCGGAACAGAATCCTATCACCCTCCGGTCCTAGGGACACATGGGCTGTCGGGCCTCTAGCTGATCGCAAGATCCTCCGGTCGTCCTCCCCAGTGTCCTCCTCGTCGCTCATAAGCTACAACCTTGTACACAATCTGAACTAATGCACTCTAGGTGCCTACCGCAGCGTAGTGCACAGACCAATTAACTGGTGGCTATTTCGGAGTACATATCAGTTGAGGTCAACAGGTAAGTCAGATTCCTACAAATAAAACTATTTTTAGTCTGACTAGTCCGCAAACAGAAGCACCAGGAACAATAAACAGTTCTAACTAACGCTGTCTGTCAGATGTCAATGGCAGTACATCTAACTAATCAAAAACATAAAAATAGAATCATTTGTGTGGATAGGACAGCATGGAATTTTCTCGAACTTATCGCCTGGAATCAACCCCTCCCTTAGTTCCCCTGGGTATCACTTGACGTCAGCGTCCCTGAGCAATCTGGAGAGCGTCACGTGTCTAAAGGTGTGTGTCCGGCCCACCCCTGTGCCCCGAGTAACCGCTGAGCTGGCCAGCCTTGCACGTATATTTATCCTCGGCGTGCCGCGAGCCTTACATCACTGGCTGATCAAGAGGCATTTTAACGTCCGCCCCCAAGTGACATCAGAAATTATTTTACGTCGCAACAGGACGACTATCACAGCCAGTGATATCCCCTACCCGTGTTTATTTATAGACGCCGGGTGCTCGTCTTTCCTGTAGGGCTGGCCTGCCCAGTAGTACCCATCTAACAGCGCAGCAAGCCGAACAAAGGACAAGCAGCAAGGCATGCGTGCTGTACTCCCTGTGGGTTGGCATGATGACCGTGACCCAGTGCTTCGACCAGGGCCCTTCAGCAGAAAGCTCCGCCCATCTTCTCCCAGATGCTCCACGTGAACATTGCCGACTCTCAAGGTTGAGCGCACTCCACACCTCACGATGAGAGGACTCTCAAGAAGGAACACACAACCTCACGGTAAGAAGTGTCGAAGAGGGTAGATAAGGTTAAGAGCAACGTACCTCAAACAGCTGCCCCCAACCACAGAGATAATCTCACCAGCCATATGACCAAATGGCGATTGCGATGACCAGTCACTGCATCGGCACAACCAGCATTATCTCGCCGTTCCACCTCAGCATCAATCGCACATTGGATAGTTCTCATCACACTGTCCAGACCACATTTCACCTAACGTAGCCTTCCTGGCGATCCCCTCACCTCCTGGGTCGCCAATACACTCGTCTCCACCCTCCTCACTACACACCACTTACGGCCAAACTCGCCCAGCAGACCGCATGTATGTACCGCATAAGGCAGAAGACAAGCGCCAGATAAGCGCAATCGTACCACAGCTCCGATACCAAATTGCAAGGAAGATGAGCAATAGCGAACTCCAGCAATCAAACAGCATCATACATATGAGTCCAGATAGTCTTGACCTCGAACCAACAACAGAATTGCATCACGAGATTCACCAAATAAGAACACACCAAGAGTTCATAATTGACAATGCTGAAATAGTCCCATCATCATCATCAACGAAGAACCAGAGTTGATATCCTATCTGGCGCTCGGCGCCCAGACTACATGTGGCAGATCCTATCTAGCCTATACTACAATGCCGAAGTTGACGTCAACAGCTTTCCGAAGTACGAGCATACAGCGGCCAATGCCGCACCCTTCCAGCACCAGGTATGTCTCTCACTACACTCGCAACCCCGTTCCACAACACACAGATGCCACTAGCACCCAAGGACCACCCTGCGCTTCACCCAGCATACAGCAGCGCAGCTCGTCTATGGCTGTGTGCTCCTTCCCTGCTCGCCCGTGAGAGCGTAGGCGCCAGCCAGCCAGCAAATAGTGCAGCAGCGCTTGCGCAGCATGCAGCCAGCACCCGAATACCGAATGAGGAGGCAGGCCCTTTGCTATATCGAAGTGGCCTGCCTGTGTCCAGTCCCAGGAAGCTTCCAGTAGGCCCCGGTAGCCTGAGGCCCAGTCCACGCAATGCAGGCCCTGGACCTGTGGTAGTTGCATGCGCCCAAGTGCCCTTGGCCTGTGTCTGGCCCAGTACCCGTATCCAGCCCAGGGCCTGTTTTCCATACATTCACATAGGCGGCCCAGGTCCTGGATTCTTTCAACCAACTGGCGCTGCGCAACTGCCGGAATTTCCTTCAGTTGTGTGGGGCCTGGAAAAGAGGCCGAGAGGGCCTGCAGAGCCTGCCTTCACTTAGGGCGGCCGACTATGCTGCAGAGAGGGCCCCTTGAGGGGCTTATCGGGGTGCCTGCCTGGCAAGAAGAAGAATGGAAGAAGAAGAAGGGAAGGTGGGGGAGAAGAAGAAGAAGAGAAAGAAGTGAAGAAGAAGGGAAGAAGAAGAAGCTAAGGAGGGGGAGAAGAAGAAGAAGTGAAGGAGGAGGAGGAGGAGGAGGAGGGGAAGAAGAAGAAGAAGGAGCCGAAGAAGAAGTTGAAGCAGCGAAGGGGGAGAAGAAGAAGAAGACGGCTGGTGGAGGACGGCGGGAAGGGGGACTCGAAACGGGGGCAAAGAAGAAGAAGAAGAAGAAGCGAAGTAGAAGAGAAGAAGAAGAAGAAGAAGAAGAAGAAGAAGAAGAAACGAAGACGACGAAGAAGAAGAAGAAGATCTCTCTCTCTCTCTCTCTCTCTCTCTCTCTCTCTCTCTCTCTCTCTCTCTCTCTCTCTCTCTCTCTCTCTCCCCCCCAAACTAAGTCCCTTACCTTGTTGAGGCGGCCGTTGGGGGGCGACGGCGGGGTCACGTGCGATGGCGGGCGTTGGCAGGTGCTGGTGGGGTGCCTCGAAGAATTGCATTGAAGTTGAGCGTCGTGCCGGCGGACACACAGTGGTGTAAGGCAGGGAAGGGGGGATATCGGGGCACATCTTCAGCATGGGGGAGGGAACAGGGGCCCGTAGTTCCCGCCCCAACCGATTTGAAATCGGTGCAATCTGGGTCCAGATGGGGCCCGATTTCAAATTGGTGAAATCGGGCCTACTGGCCCCCTTTTTTTTTTCTCCCCGGTCCACACGGTCTATGAAGGGGGCAAAAAGGGCCCCAGTGCCGAAAAAAACAAAACAAAACTACCCTACAGTGATGCGCTGGGGGTGCCCGGTGGCCAACCGGGCGCGACAACTGGCCAGGCGGCCCGGCACCCCCCCCAGGCGATGGCCAGGCCGTCGGGCGGCCCAGGGACCAGCCTAGATTTTAATTGTTTTACATTTTGACCAGATGAACCGAGAAGTGGTGCTATCTAAATTGCAGAGAGCTGCCTTAAACCATCAGTACCTCGCCCAGCTTGAAAAAGCCGACGCGGCCATTAACGCACCGCGTCGGACGGGGTACCCACAGTCGGACAACCGGTATTCCTAAAAAAACGGGCGGGGGAAAAAAAAAAACGTTGAAAAGGAGAAGAAACGAACGAAAAAAAAAGGGGCGCAGCAGGGGGGCAAAGAAGGGAAGAGAGAGAGAGAGAGAGAGAGAGAGAGAGAGAGAGAGAGAGAGAGAGAGAGTGTCTGGCGCCGACTCCCTGACGCCCCCTCTCTCTCTCCCTCTCTCTCTCTCTCTCACACGACATCAAAACGAGAATGAATATTCCGCATTAACGCGGAAGATTCATTCTCGTTTTGACGTTGTGTGTGTGTGAGAGAGAGAGAGAGAGAGTGTCTGACGACGACACTCCCTGACGCCCTCTCTCTCTCTCTCTCAGACACAACGTCAAAACGATAATGAATCTTCCGCGTTATTGCGGAAGGTTCAGGTTCATTCTCGTTTTGACTTTGTGTGTGTGAGAGAGAGAGAGGGCATCAGAGAGTGTCTGACGCCGACATTCCCTGACGCCTTCTCTTTCTCTCTCTCTCACAACGTCAAAATGAGAATGAATCTTCGGCATTATTGGGAAAGATTCATTCTCGTTTTGACGTTGTGTGTGTGAGAGAGAGAGAGAGAGGGTGTTGCGGCTGATGAAATTGCCTTTTGGTATTTTTTTGGGCGCATCTGCCCATGTTCTAGCAGGATTTTCATTCTCATTTTGCACATTTCGAGACTTCTGGGGGAGGGGATGCGCAAAGTCCGATGCCGAGTTTGGTGTGCCAAAGTTGGCGTCAGACTCTCTCTCTCTCTCTCTCTCTCTCTCTCTCTCTCTCTCTCTCTCTCTCTCTCTCTCTCTCTCTCTCTCTCTCTCTCTCTCTCTCTCTCTCTCTCTCTCTCTCTCTCTCTCTCTCTCTCTCTCTCTCTCTCTCTCTCTCTGTGTGTGTGTGTGTGTGTGTGTGTGTGTGTGTGTGTGTGGGAACCTGCCAGGAGAATGAATCTTCCTCTTTATCGATTAAGATTCACTCTCGTTGGGCATGTGTGATTTCCTTTTTTTTTTCTTTTTTTTTTCTTTTTTTTTCTGCAGAATGTTGTATGTTTTCTTTTTCTTTTTTTCTTTTTTTTCCTTTTCCGTGATGTGCTACCGGTTGTCCGAGGCTCGGGAATGATCGGGCTACCGGTAGTCCGAGCCTCGGACTTGATAGCTGGGCGAGGTACTGGTCGTTTAAACCGCCACTGCATCCGGGAAACTGGCGCTTGGCCCTGTGCTTGCCAGACAAGTCCATCTTCAATCCTGTTGTTGGGCACAAGGAAAGAACAGGTTGGCCTACTGCAATGCAGGAGACCACTGAAATGCAGTGGTTGTTTAAACAAGTGCTGTACACAGACCAGCATGGAGAGCAGCCTGATGTATGTGATTGTATTCTTGATAAGTGGATGCTTATGGCACTTGTGCGGTGTGTGTGCTTCGTGTGTGTGGGTGTGTGTTGTATGTTACAGCATGGTATCATGGGGAAATTTATCAGCTGACACCGGAAGCAGCAATCCAAATGACTAGTTTTAAGTGCTTTAGGTGTCGGAAGAAAGGACGACCTGTATGCCCACCAAAAGGAGATTATATGCTGCCATTCCCAATGGAGATTAGGCCAGGTCATGATCGGGACAAGAGAAATGGGGTTGTATCGAACTTCTCAGAGCTTCCATATCCTTCAGATCTATTGGATGCATCCTTTCCTTTCGCATCCCTCCCTGGCATGGGATACCCCATGGAAGGAGCTGCTCTGGGAGATATGGTGAATGGTGATGTCATGCTTACTGAAGATATGGGGTCAGCGTTTTCAGGCATTTTGGACATGCCGGAGGATGTACTGCCGGTAGGTTTGTCTGTGTTTCCAGAGCAAGTAGCTAATGAAGTGGTGAAACGTGCGGAGGGCGGAGGGCTTACTCTCCAGCCCGCAACAAGAACACCTCTGCCGGTTGCAGCGATGAGGACACCATTACCAGTTGTGGTGAAGGCAGGTTCAAGCTCACAGACTGCGCCAAATGCAATCCCCCCTGTTATTGATGGATCTGATGGCGTCATGACAAACGGCTGTGGCATGTTGTCAGCACCAGTAGCCACTGCTGCTGGGCTATCAGACCATATTATATTTCCATCCTTGTCAGGATGTGCGGCCAACCCACCTGATGTCGATCTCAGTAATCTTGTAGATAAACTGCACCAACAGAGACTAAATGAGACAGGGGCTCAGCCAATCTGCAAACGTGAGGACGCAGTAGAACCATCTGGACAGCTGGCAGGTTTTGGCCCCGAGGCAGACGTTCCTTCTCTAATAGCAGGGTCGATCTCTGCAGCGCCTGCAGCTGACGTATCACAGATTCCAGAAGCTGCATCGCATGGGCTAAGCGATTGGGCATGGGGAAGTGAAAGTGCTTGGGGCGAACATAATGCTAAGCTACAGAGTACACAAGAGGTTGGAGAGGGGCCTTCAACAGCGCCTTCAAGGGTCTGTCCAATGGTAGTCAGGGGCGATGATGGATTGCAGCTCTCTCTAGATGACACCCTACCGCGTGTGAAGGGTGAACTCGATGAGCCAGATAGGCTGATGCATGGCTGGTTTTCAGAAGTGTTAGGTTCCGGGGAGGGTCTTCCTCTTCCAGCAGGGCAAGAAAATATCGGAGTGACGACCACAGGAGGTGGCAGCATGGTCACACTAGGAATGGGGTTGGGTATGAACATGTGCGCTGGCAACATCGCAGCAGGGTTGGAAGCTGGACTGGATGTTGCAGGAGGATCAATGTTCAGGATGGATGAGCAGGACTTCTTGAATGCACCGATTGCGCAGGAGAGTGGTGATGGCGGTGAAGCAACTGCACACAGAGAAGCAGTGTTCATCAACCAAGGAAATGGAGTGCTAACAAGACTGAGCCTTGGTGGTGTGGTGGAAGGTGAACTGCAGGACATGAACTGCGATACGAGTTCACTGCCAGTTGGTTTGTCCGGTAAGGGGTCTGGAGGAGACCATGAGCCCACAAGCTGTGCTGTCAATGGTGAAACAGAGAATGGACTGCAGCCATTTCTGGGCACATGGTCCCGCCGTCAGCCCCGGCAACCCCGTAGGTCAAGAAAGGCCCAACAGGATGAAAATGGCAAGCCTATCAGCAGTAGCGAAGAAGCGAATGGAGCAGAGAGAAGGTTATCAGACGGAGGATCCCAATGCAGCAGTTGGAACGGGAGTAATAGCAAGCCGGCAAAGACCGATGGATGCTGTGAAATTTGTACGCTTGACAGAAAGCCTCTTCTGGTTTGTAGTCTATGTAGCCTAACTGTTCATGGACAATGCTATGTCTGGGAGGACAATTTGCAACCTGAAGATAATCATTGGGAGTGCGACACATGTAGGGACGGCATACCCCCTGGTCAAGGTAACAACATTTGTTTTCCATGTTTTCTAAAGTCTGATGTCTGCGAAGAGGCATCCATATCATTGGTTGTGTTCCATCTCCTGTTTGATGTCTGTCCAGCCAAGTGTACTACGCTTGCTTCCTTCTGTCCATCCACATGCAATGTTTTCTGGAAGTGCTTGAGACACAACCAAGACCACCCCCCTCTAGCCTTTTTCCAGATATCTGCAGTTATCCCGTCTGGCATCAGATCAGACGCGAAGCGTCTGCTGAGCACAGTGCAAGGTCAGGAAATCAATACTCTAGCTACACGTGAGATTGATTCCAGATAATTAAGAGGCGGAAGGCACGAAGCAAAGCTGTTTGTCAGCTTCCCTTCCCGAGCCCACATTTGTCTCTTATGCAGTTCTCTCCATGTCGATGCATGGCCACAGAGAGTAGCCACGGCAAAGAATGGGTCAAGGAGTGATAGGAGTTATAACTTATAACTATTTATCGAGGGATCAAGGTCATCTGGCAACGAGTCTTCTCATGGACTTCTCCCGCTCCCCCTATCAAAGGTGAATTACCTTCTTCCCCTGAATACAACGTACGGTTTTATAGCTGTATTTGGGGTTTCTTTCAGTCTAAATACAGCTAAAATGAACGTACGGCGTACGTTGTATTCGGGAAAAGAAGGCAGCTTTATGCTAATCATGCACAACAAAATGAAGATGTGTTATGGTGGTTTATTTCACTGTGTAGAGAATAGATCAGGGAGTTGCTAATATGTTTTGTTTGCAAAGCATTCTGCTGTGCACCATGATGTCCTTTCTTACCCCGCGTGCACCAGGGCTGGCCCGCTGTCCAGCCGCTGGGCCGGGCCGTACCAGACGGTTCAACCAGCAAAACCGGTTGAGCCAAAAGGTGGCCGAACTTTTTTTTTTTTTTTTGGTCGAATGCAGGCCCTGACGGTGATCACCCAGAGCATGTAGAATCTGCATTCAAAGTTCAAACATGTGGGCCGGTAACTTCTTTGGGGGCTGATAGGGGTGATGGAAGAGGGGGTGGGTTGCAGTTGGGGATTTCTGCTCTGTTTCTGCACAATGCAATCATGGACAATAGCAGGAGAAGCAGCAAATGTATCGCAAGGAGAAGAGGCAACGACGAAGGCGAAGACGAATAAGATGCATAAATTGAAGATGAGCAGGATCTGATGCAGTGGCTGCCACAATATTGAAGAGGTCCACAACGAAACAAAACCGAATTATTCGACGAGTCGCTGTGGCACCCTAAACCAGGCGACTTGAAGAATAATCCCCGAATGGGCAGCAGTAAATCAGGAGGAAAGTGGTTGCCTTTCTATGGAGTGGTAACCCAGATCCACGACATCCATGGGAGATAATTACTCAACCCCGAAGTAGAGGATGACTGGGGATCCTGGACCCAGCCCACCAATTGCAAACCAGGCGACTTGAAGAATAATCCCTGAATGGGCAGCAGCAAATCAGGAGGAAAGTGGCTGCCTTTCTATGGAGTGGTAGCCCAGATAATATCCACTTCATCCACAGAGTGGCATGAGAGATAATTACCCAACCCCGAAGTAGAGGATGACTGGGGATCCTGGACCCAGCCCACCGAGTGCAAGCCCTACGTATCAAACGGATCATCAGGCAAACTGTCTGGAGCAACCTCCCTTGGATACAGCTAGCCTTCAAACAGATCATGGACCTGACCCTGCTCAACTCGCTCACTAACATGACAGTCCTCATTTGGATCTACAACGACCATTGGCCGCTTCCTAGGTACAAAAGAAAAATTAACGGGGGAAGTTCAAGCGGAGGTGCGGAAGAATGTAGAAAAAACGTAACCATGGCTGGAGGAAGGTATTTCCGGAAGTAGGATCGGGCCAAAATGGAGAGATAAAGTGCTTAGGTAACCAATCACTGGCAACCCTTGGATTGAGGATGGAGAAGGAGAAACCTTAAGCCACCAGTCCATCGGAAGCGAAATTGTCAAACCAAAAAATGCATTTCGCCGAGTTTGAAATGTATGGTGACCGTGAATTGGAGCGGGCGAGAGGTGGTACCTGTAGCAGCAATGTGTATGACAAAAACGGCAGGCCCAAAATCTCAAGGCCTTGCTCCACCACTTACCAGATGTGGCAGTGGCAAATGAATCCGCTGCTAGAATATGAAAAGATAAAGCCCGCATTCTTGTTCGAGCCAGGCCCTGGCTTCTTTGCCTTCTTTTTTTCGGGTCCAGCTTCTTTGGAGTCGAGGTATATCGTCATTCAGCTGACTGGCCCTTAGTAAGTCGGAACATTTTCGACGGTACTTTGACGGTATCTGGATTCTAACTCAGGGCTGTATTTCAATAGTTCATGGGTGTGCAGCAGACCACCCTGCTGTATTTCAATTTTCAACAGTTCATTTGTTTCGAGACAGAAAGTGAAGCGGTCCACCCTGCTGAGCTGGCAGGCGGTTTCATTTGTTTTCTTGTTTTGGGCATCTTTTTTTTTTTTTCCTCTTTTTTTCCAAAAGGGTGACTGCCTTTAGATATCATCATTGCACTTGAGGGCATACTCACACTAGCACATTCCTAAATGTATCTGACTGTAGTTTACTGCCTGACCTGGATGTGTCTGACTGGCATCATATCCAGAGCTAAGTAGAAAAGGTCCTCGTGTGAGCATGCCCTGATCTCTAGCCAAAGGCTGAGGAAGGTAACCTAAGCTGACTTGCCCTAGGTAATTCAGAACTAATCGGATGGCAGCTGGATTCGGACTAAGATCTGTATTTCAACAGATCATGGGTGTGTACCAACTGGGATGGCAGCTGGATTCGAACTAAGGTCTGTATTTCAACAGTTGATGGCTGTACCAACTGAGCTAGGCCCGTCGTTTCATTTTTTTGTTTTTCTATCGGGGCAGTTTCCAAAGTACAGCAGTCCGCCCTGCTGAGCTGGCAGGACTGTTTTCACGGGAAAACACAAAACACGAAGACGAGCTGCACGCTCCACTGCAGAACTCTCCGCGTGCATTTGGACACTTTCTGGATGCGGTGCACCACCTCCTCCAGATGTGGCTTACTTTTTATTTAGATCTGGGTTTGACAACTTTTTTCGGTGACATCCCTTCAGATGGGTACTAAGCTCATGTTCTGTCAGCCGATCCTTCTCTTCATCATCCCTACGTGGCTTCCTTTCCAGACTCTGTAGCTGATCCAGGATTTCCATCTCCTGCCCCTTCGCTTTATAGAAAACCGGTGATCACTTTCAACTCTCACACAAGGGTTCCCGAATAGAGGTCGTCTCAGGGCTTCTTCTTTAGATGTGGGTTTGCCCCAACTTCGCCAACTTTTTTTGGCATGATTTCCCTTCATATTTGAAGCAGTGCAGTCCAGTAAGGTGTTGGAGTCCGGGACTTCATTTGACGCAGTGTGTTTGGGCTCCATTCCTTCTTCATTACGCAGAATAGATGGGACATGTTAGCAGGCCCGACTATGGGGCGCAAGGACCTGATGCTGTCCAGTGCCATCTTGTTCCATGCCAGACCCGGTTTGGTTAAGAGCTTGACAATTCATTTTATCTGTGGGGCTTTCGTTTCTCGTCTCGGATCAATTATGCTTCTGCGGCCTGTGTTTGGGCTCCATTCCTTCTTCATTACACAGAATAGATGGGACATGTTAGCAGGCCCGACTATGGGGCCCAAGCACCTGATGCTGTCCAGTGCCATCTTGTTCCATGCCAGACCCGGTTTGGTTAAGAGCTTGACAATTCATTTTATCTGTAGGGCTTTCGTTTCTCGTCTTGGATCAATTATGCTTCTGCGGCCTGTGTTTGGGCTCCATGCCTTATTCATTACGCAGAATAGATGGGACATGTTAGCAGGCCCGACTATGGGGCCCAAGGACCTGATGCTGTCCAGTGCCATCTTGTTCCATGCCAGACCCGGTTTGGTTAAGAGCTTGACAATTCATTTTATCTGTAGGGCTTTGGTTTCTTGTCTTGGATCAATTGTGCGGAGCCTCCCTCGAGGTGGTTTCCTTGTGATATAGTGCCACACTATCTTCGGTATATATTCCTCTTTGTTGGGGTCACCCGACCACAGGTAGGCTCGTGCTTTGCGGTTTAGGTCCTTGAGTGTTTGGTCAGGTACTGTCCAGATTGAGGCTATGTACCACATCATCGAAAATATGGATGTGTTGATTATGAGGTGCCATTTTCTAGGGAAAAAAAGAAGAAGAAGAAGATGCAGGTTTTTGCATATTGAACTTCTGTAAGTAGTAGGAAATGGTACACACATGTAAGTGTTGATGAACAGATCATGAGTTCGAAGATGGACACAATTGTGTTAGGTAGGCAATCATGGATCTGAAATTGTGAATTTGACAATTTGTTTCGTGGCACTGTGATGGAGACAATTGCCAGCGTTGACCTGTTCCATGATTTTGTCTTTTTTTGTCCTATATTACTGCATCCACTTGTGGTTACGCATCTGTAGATTGTGTTTGTTCGTGGGAGTCTCGTGCACTGCATGCACGCTGTTTCTCTAAACCAGTGAGCATCATGTTTGCAATGAGTACCTGCCCATGCTACACGAATTCCCATTTCCCTAGCTAATATCTTAGTCTTATAAGCTGCATGAGTGCCATCTCCGTAAACAATTGCTCAAGAGTGTGCTGTCTCGACGGCATCGAGAATGGCGGCAGTCAAAATGCTTGATAAGTTGTTGCTTGTTTGTTTGGCGATGTCTCTGACTGGTCACGGGCCTTCTGTATTCAGGTACCTGCTTGCTATGCCCGAAGATGGGTGGGGCCCTGAAGAGGGAGATCAACGGTGGATGGGCACATGCCGTTTGTGCTCTTTGGATGCCGGAAACGTTTGCAAATGCGTTTGGAGTGATTGAGAACATTGTGAATATTCGGCAGGTGAGTAGATTGTCTTGGCGTTGACAGAGCCCCTAAACACCATGTGCAGTTTTTGGCTCGCTTGGGCAACACAACTAACTTATCAATCTGCACATAGCACAATCTTTGCTGGTAGTCATCAATCATTTCATGCTGGTCATTGGTTCACAACTTTGAAGTTATGAACTTGCAAGTATGCTGCAAGATTCAGACTCGTATCCCCAAGTGCCTTGTGCCCATGAGCATGAAATGCACATTCATATGCGGAATGGGCTGGAGCCCAAGGCAGGCAGACTCCATCTGCGGTAAGACAGCCTGCACAATAGAGCAACATACCACAGGATTTGCTGAGCTTCTCTTGGGCAACTGGAATCGGAGAGCACATGCACGCCCTTTTCGACATCTGATGAAATTGGAACCATACAGAGGAGATTAGCATACCCCCTGCCCTGCCCAAGGAGGACACACATAAATTGAGAAATGGTCCGAATTAAAAAGTAAAAATAAAAAGAGGAAATCTTCCCAAGGTGGAGCAGTCAATGCTGTTCGGATGGGTCCATCGGCCTCAAATGGGTGGGAGCGTGAAGTGTATCAATGTACGTGTATTTGGATTTGCTGGGCGAAACTGACTGATGCTTGCCAGAATGGATATGGGTCCAGGATGATAAGCACCTGGCTTTATTGGAGGGGGGGGGGAAGGGGGGGGAGAGCGCATGCATAATTCAAGAATCAGCACTGAATTACATCTCTCTCTCTCTCTCTCTCTCTCTCTCTCTCTCTCTCTCTCT